ATCTATTTTTGCTTTTGTTACCTGTGCTTTTGAGGTCATATCCAAAAACTATTTCCAGGACCAGAGTTATGGAACTTTTCCTCTATGTTTTCATTTAGTAGTTTTACAGTTTCAGGTATTACATTTGTATTTAATTAATTTTGAGTTGATTTTTGTAAATGGTGTGAGTTAAGGGTCTTATTTCATTCTTTTGCATATGGATAGCTCGTTTTCCCAGTACCATTTATTGATGAAAATATTCCTTCCCCATTATGTGTTCTTGGCTCTTTGTTAAAAACCAATTGGCCATAAATATGTGGATTTATTTCAGGGATCTTTATTTGTTCCATTGCTCGATGTGTTTATTTTTATGCCAGTACCATGCCATTTGATTACTATAGCTTTGTAGTAGATTTTGAAATCAGGTAGTGTGGTATTTCTAGCTTTGTTCTTTTTTGCTCAAAATTACTTTGACTATTTGTGGTCTTTTGTGATTCCACAGGAATTTTGGAATTTCAGAATTTCGATTTGTGTGAAAATGTTATTGGAATTTTGATAGGAATTACATTGAATTTGTAGATTGCTTTGGGTAGTATAGACATTTTATCAATATTAATTCTTTCAATCCATGAACACAGGATATCTTTTCATTTATTTGTGTCTTCTTCAATTTCTTGTATGAATGTATATAGTTTTCAGTGTACAGATCTTTCACTTCTTTTTTTAAATTTATTTCTAAGTATTTTATTTATTGTAAATGGAATTATTTTCTTGATTTCTTTTTTGGATAGCTTTTTATCAGTATATAGAAACCCAACTGATTTTTTAATGTTGGTGTTATATCCTGCAATTTTATTGAATTCCTTTATTATTTCTAATTGTATTTTGGTAAAGTCTTTAAGGGTTTTTGTGTATATAATCATATCACCTGAAAATACAGACAATTTAACTTATTCTTTTTTGATTCAGATTTCTTTTATTCCTTTGTCTTGCCTAGTTGCTCTGGCTAGGGTTTCTATTACTGTATTGAATGAAAGTGGTAAGAGTGAAAATCCATGTCTTTTCCCTGATTTTAGAGGAACAGCTTTCAACTTTTTATCATTGAGTATATTAGCTGTGCACTTGTCATATGTGGCCTTATTTGTGTTGAGGCATCTTCTTTCTATATGTAATTTGTTGAGAGTTTTTATCATGAATGATGTTAAATTTTGTCAGATGCTTTTCTGCATCTATTGAGATGATCATATGATTTGTCTTTCATTTAGTTAATGTGGTATATCACAATTAATGATTTGAATATGTTTACTTTTTCATCCTCAGGCTAAATATCACTTGATCATGGTGAACGAGACTTTCAATGTGCTGTTGAATTCAGTTTGCTAATATTTTGTTGAAGATTTTTGTGTCTATGTTCATTGAGGATATTTTCTTTTCTTGTAATGGTCTTGTCTGGCTTTGATATCAGAGTAATGGTGGCCTCATAAAATTAGTTTGAGGGCCAGGTGCAGTGGCTCAAGCCTGTAATCCCAGCACTTTGGGAGGCTGAGGCGGGTGAATCACGAGGTCAAGAGATCGAGACTATCCAGGTCAACATGGTGAAACCCTGTCTCTACTAAAGATACAAAAAATTAGCTGGGCATGGTGGCGCGTGCCTGTAATTCCAGCTACTCAGGAGGCTGAGGCAGGAGAATTGCCTGAACCCAGGAGGAGGAGGTTGCGGTGAGCTGAGATTGCACCATTGCACTCCTGCCTGGGTAACAAGAGCGAAACTCTGTCTCAAAAAAAAAAAAAAAAATTAGTTCGAAAGTATTCCCTCCTCTTCAGTTTTTGAAATAATTTAAGAAGGATTGATATCACTTTTTTAAATGTTTGGTAAAATTCAGCAGTAAAGCCTTTAAGTCCAGGCTTCTTTTTTCTTTTTTCTTTTCCTTTCTTTTTTTGATGGTAAACTATTACATTTTCGATCTTTTTACTCATTATTGTTCAGATTTACTCTTTCTTCATGATTCAGTATTGGTAGTTTGTATGTATCTATGAATTTATTAATTTCTTCTATGTCATCCAGTTTGTTGATGTATATTTGTTCATTCTAGTCTCTTAAGACCCTTTAAATTTCTGTACTATCAGTTGTATATGTTCAGATATTTTGCTCATTTTAATGTGTTTTTCTTATTAAGTTTTGAGAATTCTTCATATATTCTAGATACAAGTCATTTTAAGCAATCTGATTTATAAATATTTTCTCCTACACTTTCAGAGAGCAGACACTCTTAAGTGAAGTTTAATTTATTTACTTAATCTTTCACTTATTATATTTTGGTTTTGTATCTAAGAAATCATTGCCTAACTAAAGATCACAATACTTTTTTTCTATGTTTTTAAAAGAAATTGTATAGTTTCTGTTTTGCATTTCTCTCTGTGATCCATTTTGAGGACTTTTTAATGTAAGTTGTGAGGTATGGATAAATTTTGTTTTTATCTATTTGCATATATCTGTCCAGTCATTCAAGTACTAGTTTTTAGGAAAACTGTATATTTTTTTTGTCACCAAATTGCCTTTTTACCTTTATCAGAAAAGAATCCATCATATATGTGTAGGACTATTTTTTGATCCTTTTCTTTAAAAAAACAGTAAAAATTTAAATTACACTAGGAATACACAAAGAATTACATGAAGAACGTATGAATATTTCCTTGTACAAATTGTAAAAACATAGAAATATGTGACAATGAGAGTAAATGCTTATATAGGCCTTACTGTGCTGAGCATCACTCTAAATGCTTTAAATAGATTAGCACATTTACTCTTTACAGCTATTCATGAGCCTAGGTACTGTTATTTTTTCCATGTTACAGATGGGAGCACTGAAGGCAGAAAGAAGGCATGTAACTTGCATGTGATCATATAGCTAGTAATTGTTGGAGCCGTGTTTTTAATCACCTCATCATTTTCTTTCACCTCTACCCCAATCCAATGCCTTACCTCAAATATGACAACTGTTCTTTATTTCATTTGCAACTTACTTACCTACATAAAACACAGGCAGAAAACATTTTGTTTGTATTCATGTCTATTCTTTTATAACTTTGAAGCAACTATGTAATCTGAAGTTTTGGTGTAGAGTTTTTTTCCAAATGTCACTTAGTATAATTTAATTGGTAGGGCTAGTCTACTGGTCTATAATTCTTGATGAGAGTTCATCTAGTTTTCCTATCGACTGCTGAGACAACATATTGATGTTTCCAAGTTTATTTGTGGATTTTTAAATTTCTCCTTTTAATTCTATAAGATTTTCTTTCATGTGTTTTGAAACCCTGTTGTTAGGTGCACACATATTTACATTTATTATGTTATTTTTCATAGTTGACCGCTTCATAATTAATGTCTCCCTTTATCCTTTTGCTAAAATTTACTTAGTCTCATATTAACAAGTGGTTTCTGCTTTTGTATGGTTAGGGTTCACGTAGTATCTCTTTTACCAGGTTTGCACCAACCTAATATATCTTTTATTTTTTAACCTATTTATTCTTATGTACTTAAAATGAGTTTCTTGTATACAGCATATAATTTGGTCTTGATTTTTTAATCCAATGTGCTCTTAACTTTTAATTTACGGTTTACAAGGTTTACATTTAATGTAACTATATGATTAGATTAAAACCCATCACATTATTAGCTGTTTTATTTTTTAAATCTATTGTTTTGTTTTTGCTCCTTTGCATTCTGTTCTTGAGTATTTCATTTTAGCTCCATTATGAATTGTTGTTGATTTTTCTGTTAAAGAATTATTTTAGTCATTGCCCTAGATTACATAATAGGCATCTTTAATCAGAATATATATTTAAATAATATTAGACTACCAGACATGTAGTCTAAGGATTTAACAACAGTGTTTCCCAACTTCTTCCCTCCATCATTTGTGCTGTTGTTGTCTTACATACACTTTATTTTTACACATGCTATAAACACAATGCATTTTTAATATTTTTGCCTTAGTTATCTTTTACAGCAATTTAAAATAAGGAAATGAATTTTATATTACCTTCATTTATTCTATTTCTAGAACCCTTTATTACTTTATGTATATGTCATACCTTACCAAGGTGTTAAAAATAAATGTTAATATTTTTAACTATTTGCATTTAAAACACACCAGTCTTTGACTTCTCTTGGCTTTGTTAAAAATTTGTTGTCTTTAGATAGCTGGGGATGTGTTTTATTTTTATACTTCTTTGTGCTCACTTGGAATTTCAGGGCCATAGGACTGAGAATGTTATAAGAGGTTCTATTGCCTATTCTTCAGTCTAACAAGTTTACTGTTCTTAAGATGTTTCTAGAAGTTCTCTTTCTGAAGTTGAAACACAAGCCTATTTGGTCTATACTTCTCTTTTATCTCTCTTTCTTTTATTCTTTTGCTTCTCATGTGGTGTTTGGAGCATTTGGACCATGTTGTCCTGCTTTTTAATGCTTTCTTATTAATAATCCTGCACATATATAAAGATAGTTATTGAGTGTCCTCTTACTGTCTTCTTTATGTCTTCTACACATTAAAAAGTAGGAGGTGGTGTCCCAGCTCCCTTACCAAATTGTGGAAGTGCAGACTATATAGAGTGCTAAACTTAAACCCTATGGTTTGTTTTATGGTTTGTTTTATTCCAGGCATGTACCTTTTGGAGAGCTCTGGGATTCTGAAATTGGGTGGGTTTCCTTCAAAAACAATGTTCACTTGAGGATGTGATTTATTCCAGAGCCTTCTCAGTGCAGTAGCCTTAGGTATGTTATTTGTATAGGGATAAGGCAGAAAGAAAGGATCAATCTAGAAAACCTAGACTTTTCTGAGCAAACTATATTCAGTTGTGATTTAAAAAGAAGTACTCTTGACAGCCAGGGCTGGTCCTATAGTATAACTTATAAGCACTTGTCAGTTACTTGGGTTATTGCAAAAGACACTTATTTTCAAGCTTTCCCCTTTAATTCATGTCCAAAGTATAACATTTTCTTTTTGTCTTTTATCCCCCAGGGGTGCTACATCCATTGTGTACAGATGCAAACAGAAGGGGACCCAAAAGCCTTATGCTCTCAAAGTGTTAAAAAAAACAGTAAGTTTATTTCATTATATAATGGCATTTCAAAGGAGCCTGTGACCTGGGGAAGGCAGGAACCTGACTTGAAGAACAAAGGGGCCAGAGAGCTTCTATGTGCAAGTGACTTGTTTGACTCTTGATTATGGAAGTTGCAACCCAAATAGGTTGTTGTTGGTAGAAATTGAGTAAGACTTTGAAAGCAACTCGATCTCTGATTGGATGTGGTTGTGGGGAGAAGTTTGACAAGAAAAACATTTAGAATTGGCAGGTAGACCTTATTTGGTATACCAGCCATGCTCTTGGAGATACATATATATATATATATATATACATGCATACATATATATGTACACATGTATATATATGTTCATGTATATACACACATACACATATAAAATAATTTCAATATTTAAATATTTAAAGCACATTTTAATATGTTAGAAAAGCTTGCTATTGAAAAGAATTTTAAATAAAACAAAATGTATTTGTTAAAGGAGTCATCAGATTCTAATTTGCCTTGATTTTCAAATGTTATACTTGCTTCAGTAGAGTATAATTGAACAAATGCTAATGTTTCTGCGACTGAACCTGGTCATCTAGAAGTTTGTATTGGGAAAAAAGAAAGATTTTTGTTTAGGGGTTGTTTCTTTTGCCCTACACTTACAGGTAAGCTGAGGAGGCAAAAGTGGCTTAGGCTCATCTCTAACGAGTAAGAAACACAGCAGATGGGAGTTCAAAATATAAATGCCAGCACCTGTGTAATACTATCTATACCTCAGAGAGTATCTTTCCATTTTAATGTCCTACTTGGATTTTGTGTTCTTAGATAGTCTCTACTCATAAAACCACAAAAAGACAAGGTACTCTTTTATAGCACATTCCTTTTCAAATTTCATGTGAACAAATATATGAAATAAATATATGTCTATATCTGAAAATCCAGTTGTAAAGTACGTTGAGAAGTATCATAAATTTTGAAGTCAAATACATTTTTTAGGCCAAAGAATTTTTTTTCCTAAAGGCAGCTTAAAATTAACAGCTATTTATGTATTATCTGGCACAGAGAAATTTTAGAATCTCTTATAATGAAGAGCATAATGGTACAAGGTTTTCAGCCAAATAGAAATAGAATGGCATTTTAAATAATCTGTTAGATTGTTTAAAGTCACAACAAAGACAGTTTAATGAAAGTTGGTAATAATTTAAATGGCAATTGCTACTAATGAATTCTATATTCTGAATTTTCTGTTTGGTGTAGGCAATGATTTAAGTTATTCCAGAATGCAGAGGAATATTTTGATTGATAAGATTTTGAATTTTCCCTTAATTTAATTTCATATAGTCATAACATTTATCTGAGCTAAGGATTATTAAAACTTTGATGAAATAGAATATCATGTTAAATATCTATTGTTTATGAAAATAAAATGGCATGTTTTATCAGCAGTCACACACAAGATGTTTTAGGACTTGATTTTACCATTTTTTCTTGGTTGAAACATTGTCAGTGGAAGCTCTTAAGTTTAATTAGATCCCATTTTTCTATTTTGGCTTTTGTTGCCATTGCTTTTGGTGTTTTAGTCATGAAGTCCTTGCCTATGCCTATGTCCTGAATGGTATTGCCTATGTTTTCTTCCAGGGTTTTTATGGTGTTAAGTCTTACATTTAAATCTTTAATCCATCTGGAATTAATTTTTGTATAAGGTGTAAAGAATGGGTCCAGTTTCAGCTTTCTGCATTTGTTAGCCAGTTTTTCCAAACACCATTTATTAAACAGGGAATCCTTTCCCCCTTGCTTAATTTTTGTCAGGTTTGTCAAAGATCAGATGGTTGTAGGTGTATGGCATTAATTCCAAGGACTGTGTTCTGTTCCATTGGTCTATATCTCTGTTTTGGTACCAGTACTATGCTGTTTGAATACTGTAGCCTTATAGTTTAGTTTGAAATCAGGTAGCATGATGCCTCCAGCTTTGTTCTTTTTGCTAAGGATTGTCTTGGCTATGCAGGCTCTTTTTTGGTTCTATATGAAGTTTAAGGTGGTTTTTTTCCAGTTCTGTGAAGAAGAACAATGGTTGCTTGATGGGGATAGCACTGAATCTATAAATGACTTTGGGCAGAATGGCCATTTTCATGATATTGATTCTTCCTAACCATGAGCATGGAATGTTTTTCTATCTGTGTCTTCTCTGATTTCCTTGAGCAGCGGTTTGTAGTTCTCCTTGAAGAGGCCCTTCATGTCCTTTGTTAGTTGTATTTCTAGGTATTTTATTCTCTTTGTAGCAGTGGTGATTGGGAGTTCACTCATGATATGGCTCTCTGTTTGTCTGTTATTGGTGTATAGGAATGCTTGTGATTTTTGCACATTTATTTTGAATCCTGAGACTTTGTTGAAGTTGCTTACCATCTTAAGGAGATTTTGGGCTGAGACAATGGGGTCTTCTAAATATGCAATTATGTCATCTGCAAATGGAGACAATTTGAGTTCCTCTTTTCCTAGTTGAATAGTCCTTATTTTATTGCCTGATTTCTCTGGCTAGAACTTCCAATACTATGTTGAATAAGAATGGTGAGAGAGGGTAGCCTTGTCTAGTGCCAGTTTTCAAAGGGAATGCTTCCAATTTTTGCCCATTCAGTATGATATTGGTTGTGGGTTTGTCATAGATAGCTTTTATTATTTTAAGATATGTTCCATTGATACCTAGTTTATTGAGAGTTTTCAGCATAGAGGGTTGTTGAATTTTGTCAAAGGCCTTCTCTGTATCTATTGAGATAATCGTGTGGTTTTTGTCTTTGGTTCTGTTTATGTGATGGATTACATTTATAGATTTGCATATGTCAAACCCACCTTGCATTCTTGGGATGAGGCCCACTTGATCGTAATGGACATCTTTTTGATGTGCTGTTGCAATTTATTTGCCAGTATTTTATTGGAGATTTTTACATTGATGTTCATCATGGATATTGGTCTGAAATTTTCTCTTTTAGTTGTGTCTCTGCCAGGTTTTGGTATCAGGATGATGTTGGTCTCATAAAATGAGTTAGGGAGTATTCCCTCTTTTTGTGTTATTTGGAGTAGTTTCAGAAGGAATGGTAGCAGCTCCTCTTTGTGTATCTGGTAGAATTCAGCTGTGAACCTATCTGGACCTGGACTTTTTTTGGTTGGTAGGCTATTAACTGCTGCCTCAACTTCAGACCCTGTTATTAGTCTATTCAGGGATTCAGCTTCTTCCTGGTTTAGTCTTGGGAGAGTGTAAGTATCCAGGAATTTATCCATTTCTTCTAGATTTACTGGTTTATGTGCTTAGAGTGAAACAACAGAATGGGAAAAAATTTTTGCAAACTACCCATCTGACAAAGGTCTAATATCCAGAATCTACAAAGAACTAAAACAAATTTACAAGAAAAAAACAACCCCATCAAAAACTGGGCAAAGGATACGAACAGTCACTTTACGAAAGAATACATTTATTTGTTGTTGTTGGCCAACAAACATATGAAAAAAAGCTGCTCATCATTGGTCATTAGAGAATGCAATTTAAAACCACATTGGGATGCAATCTCACAACAGTTAGAATGCCAATCACTAAAAAATATGGAGACAACAGATGCTGGATAGGATGTGGAGAAATAGGAATGCTTTTACACTGTTGGTGGGAGTGTAAATTAGTGCAACCATTGGGTAAGACAGTATGGTGATTCCTCAAGGATCTAGAAATAGGAATACCATTTGACCCTGCAATTCCATTACTGGGTATATATCCAAAGAATTATAAATCATTCTATTATAAAGATGCATGCAGACATATATTTATTGTGGCACTGTTTACAATAGCAAAGACTTGGAACCAACCCAAATGCCCATCAATGATAGACTTGATAAAGAAAATGTGGCACATATACACCATGGAATACTACGCAGCCATGAAAAAGGATGAATTCATGTCCTTTGCATGGACATGGATGAATCTGGAAACCATCATCAGCAAACTGACACAAGAACAGAAAACCAAGCACTGCATGTTCTCACCCATAAGTGAGTGTTAAACAATGAGAACACATGGACACAGGGAGGGAAACATCACACACTGGGGTCTGTTGGGGGGTAAGGGGCTAGGGGAGCTATAACAGGGGTTGGGGATGTTGGGGAGGGATAACATTAGGAGAAATACCTAATGTAGGTAAAGGAGGATGGAGGAAACAAACCACCATGGCATGTGTATACCTATGTAACAATCCCGCAAGGTCTGCACATGTATCCCAAAACTTAAAGCATTAATAAAAAAAAATTGTCAGTAAAATATGTGAAGGGCTATTTGTTTTTCATAGGTGAGGAAACTTTGAGATGGAAGAGGCATATGAAACTCTAGGAAATAAACACTAGAAATCACATGTGAATGATCAAGAATTCCCGAGGACAACAGACTATTTTAAAAATCATTGGCTTATGTCAAAAATTTTTGATAAATTGGAATAAGAGGTCAGTGGAGCCATTTGGTGGGCTCGTGATGTATATTCGTTGGGCAAGCACAGCTCTGTTTTGTCCTCACTGTCTTCTCGCTGTTGTGAAAACATCTCCCTCAGAAGACAGGCAGGAAGAGCCTGTCAGATGGAGCTGCAGAGTGGTGCTGTAAGGCAGATGTTGTCAAACACAGTTACTGCTGTGCCAAATGGAATGAGAGAAAATGCCCTGGAGAAACCTCAGCTTTGAATGTGAATTAGATAGAATCCCCGGTATTGTCTCCTAGGATAAACCATGCGCAGGGATGTGTAAACGAGAGAAATAGCAGGCAAAACCTCAAAAAGCAGTTGCCTCTAGCATTTCATTCCATATCGGTCATGGAGACGGAAACTTCCTTATCTAAAGGAAGTGAATGAAGCCTAAGAATCTATTTCTAGAGGAAAAGTGATGTGGGGAAAATATTTTCTTAGAGAATTCAACCAAGGGGTCTGCTCCTGAAGGGAAAAAAAGGGTTCAGAAAGCTTGAACTATATGTGTAATCTATTAGGCTCAACAA